ATGCTTCCAACCGTTCGTTTCGATGGAGCCGCCATCGAAAGTGCTGCAGTGAAACAAACACTCACAGAAACAAAAAGGCTCGATACCATTCCAAAATATCCAAAAAGATGTAAAGAAAAATACCAAAAGAACTTGTTGAGACTTTCTTTTAAACCAGATTTAGCGAAGTGTAGAAGATTAACAAAGATTGACTTTACACACTAAAGGCAGCGATTTTCAACTACGCGAAATGTTTTTTCTTTAGTACAGGGCGCGCAATGCATCTAGGGTGAACATGGGCCTTTAAATCTCGACAAAGATATTTTCTCTGTCAAAACACAGAGATGATTGTTTCAAAGCATGTACTGCGCGTATTGTAACGGCAAGGGTCTACCTAGAAGAAACCAATGTGTAACGAGCGTGAAAGGATGCAAAAGCTTCACTTGACTGGGTGCACAAGTTGGACCCTTCTGAACCAGTAACCTTGATCCGCCCCTGTTTACGTTTGTTGATTATAACAATGTACCTTTTGCTCATATCTTACCGATGGCGTCTTCCGTTCCTAGTTCAGGTCCTTCAGATGACGCACAATTTGATCCCTGCATTCCACTGTCACTTGTGACCGTCATTGCGCTGTGTGAATCGGCATCCTTGGTATGTTCGCTGGATTGTTCTAAATAATTCTGAATGTAGTCGTATTTTTCCTGATCTAAATAATTAAAGCGCCTCTTTTCCTTGTCATCAGGATTTTCTGAAATATGGTGCGAAAATCCAAAAAATTCATGTCAGAACTGAAGATGAAGTTAAAACTTGAAATCGAATTAAGATCTGAACTAACAAGATCAGCAAGTAAGCAATATAGAATTCGTTAATCGAATGAATTAACAATTAATGATTGAGGCTGAGTATACTATGAAGAATTATGGAAATCGAGGAGGGTGTTATCCGTCTAGGCTGTAGGCCGAGGCGGATAACACCCTCCGAGATCTCCATGATTCTTCATATGATATGAAAGCCGAATTCAATAATTGTTTTATCATCCATTCAAAATAATTCCTAGTTTAAAAACATGGCTAAAACATGTTTACCTCCAACGATCCATGGATGTCAAGTTCATCTTCGATAGTGCACCTTTAGGGTTGTTCAGCTCCCCAAATATTCTCCAAATAGCAGATGTCGCCCTTCGAGTCTTCGCGGCTGTTCTTGCCATGTTTTTAGCTATTATTTTGTCCAGTTCTTACTCTTGAAACGAGTGAAACGTCCACAATTTTTGTTTTCATAACCAAAACAACTCAACCTCGTCCCAAGTCTTCTCGGTTATCGGTGCATTAACCTTCAAGAAGGCTGCACTTTTGACGTCATCGGTTCATTAAACGCAAATTTCTTCCAAATTTGGTCATCAGTAGCTGGTTATGGTGAATTATGCATGTGCTTTTAGCCAATCAAAATCGAGGAAATATTTGGAATGAATAATAAAGAGGATACTACATGGCAGTGCGAAGATTATCCAATATTAGTATATACACACTTAGTGATCTTGATAATTCAAGCAATCCGTAACCAATCGATAGAGCCTGATACTGCAATATAAGTGGCGCGATCCGCCACTTATATTTCGTCTTGTTTTAGCGACAGCACTTGACCCACAAAACGGTTTCAAAGTATCATTTCGGAAAAACTTTTATGATGAATATCCATGCAAGTGCTGATGACTTTGAAGGCAAGAAAAGACTTCATGGTGTTTTTTTATAATGGTTTCCTTTCTGATTCTGTTGAGATCACTTCGTGTGAATATACTAAAACAATTATTCACCTCAGGCTCAGTTAATATTGTTCGTCTCGGGAATTATTCAACAATATTGACTTCGCCTTCGGCGAATAATTGTTTAATAACCGTCATCTTTTTCGATATTTGAATGTAGCTTTTCCGTTTGCTAAGCAGTTAATACTTTACTAAAATACTGTGACAGTACTTTTACAGTACTTTTATTTACGTTATTCATCAAATAATTACTGTCGAAAGAAGGGACTAATAGCAGACGAAGCTGCCCAAGTTGGCCCCTCCCCTTACCTTATTGTTTTGTTTTGTTTTTGTTTTTGTTTTGTTTTGTTTGTTTTAAGGAAAAAACTACTGCTCAGCAAGTTAGAATTATGACCATTCGAGAAAGCGAAGAAGTAAGAAAAGAAAAAAAAAAACAGAAAAATTAGCACTGAGACAAGACACAATTACAGTAACGGCATGTATGTGTTAAATGGAAAAATTCGAGGGTAAGATAATTAATAAGTCAGTGCATGATCGGAAAAGAAACAGGGGTTTTATGGTCTTTTCCTTAAATTCATTTATATTGCATGTATGGTTTCTTCATTTCTGTCGGTACTTAAATGGATTAAATGTATTTTTTTTCCGGTTTTCTATCCACCACCACATGTTTACGTGATTTTACATCACGATACCCACTGTAGTTTTTTATTCTTTGTTTTTAGTTTCACTTTCTCATGTTTAACCTTCATTCTTTTATTCCTTTTTTCTATTTTGTTTTGATTTGTTTTGATTTGTTTTTTCATCTGTATCTTTTTAATTTCAGTTTTTTTAACTATCCGCATTTTTTTCATCTGCCGCCTGATATCCAGTCCACTTTTAACAGACAGCCTTTATATTCAAATCTCTGTACTTCCGTGCTCTATTTCGCCATTATTAATTATTATTATTAAATTATTATTATTATTAAATTATCTCTTGGTATATAGATGTAAAATATTTCAGTAGCCATTAAAATCATATTGTATGCTAAAATACAGGTCGGTTTAAAGGTTAGTTCTTTCTAAATCTGAAAAGCGACTTTATTGGGAAAACACCATCAGTATTTACCTTGTGGTTCATAAGCCAACTTGTTGCGGACTTTCTCGTACTCTTGTTCGTCAATGGTTACCACCGCTTCGACATGTTCTCCGCTAGCAAGTTCTTTTATTTCATCTGTGACCAACAAGGCTTGTAAGCTTGCTTTTAGTGTCCCATCCTTGTATAAACACCACAGTGTTTCAAGAGCTGTAAGACTTTCTACTTGGACTTTTAGACACACACACCCCTCGGTCATTTGAATCAGATTAGCACCAGCAGGCAGCACACAGGTATTAACGGCGGCGATTAGTTGATCATACGAAGAGTTACGAATCAACAAGTCAAAGCTTGAAGCAATCGTGAGGTATCCTGCCACGACTTTAAACACAGTTTTTATGTTCAGAACTAAAATGTAAAGAACAAATTGACAAAAAAACTCTTGGAGGGTTTTGGATAGTAAGCGGTGGGCTTCTGGCGAAGACAAGATGGGAGAGAGTTTGGATGTGTGAGGCTGTAAGATTTTTATCACCTACAAAATTTTCGACACCTTTCATTCAAAACATAAACTGTTCTCCTCCTTTATTGACATTTTAGGCCCCGTTTAAGTGGAGAAAATTTGCTCCGGGTCACCCTCCTAGCCGAGTCAACTTTATTTTTGTATCTCATCTAAACGGTTCGCAGCGTTTTGTAGGAAATGCAGTAAAAGTTGGCTCACTAAGAGTAACTCGGGTAGGCGGGTGACCCCTCTACCCGGTTCAACTGTTCTCCATATAAACGGGGCCTAACGTTTACGGCTCACAAGCCATCTTGCAGGCGGTACAGGATTGCACTACATAGGGCATGGGAAGAAAGGATTTAGCTTGCTTATTTTATTGTCACATTTCTTAACCTGAGACAGTGCAAAAAAGTAGGTCAAGAATTGTACTTCCATAAGAGGGTGAGCTCCAGGCATAACTAGGAAGCCGTTTGGCCCCTGGCGTGATGAGAAGCACTTCGATAGAATGTGGTCTCACCCTCAGAATCAGGCAAGGAATTCGCTTTCTTTCACAATTTACACGTTATGGCTCCTCAGAAAGTAAGTGGAAGCGTATTATCCAATGGAACAATTTCGGTACATTAAATTCATGCTTGGCTCACCAACGAATAATACATTTAGTCTCCAAAGCTTCGTAGATGTTGCAAGTTAATTTTTTATTTCAGTTAATTTTTATATTTCCTTTGTTTCAAATTCAAAACCTTTCATTACCATACCAAAAGGTACTGAAAAATAAAAATTAACTGAGTTAAAAAATTAGATACAACACCAACAAGTCTGGCAAGTATAGTATAGTTGGTATACCTTCCAGAGAGGCCTGCAAAAGCTTTTTTGCGTCACAGGGAGGCTGGGGAGAGGAGAAACGTAAGCGTCCACCGCGCGTGGATTATTTTTCAATTAATTCAATCAATTCAATTCAGATGGTGTGTTTTACTCCATTTGCACGCGACATTATTAATTAATTAACGGCCACCGGAACAAAGGGACGCACTGAGACAAAGAAAACAAGGCTTACACCATTTAAAATGGTAATTTCCTTTGATTAGAGTGAATTCGTATAACCCGTTTCTTATATGCTAATAAAAATCGCTAAATGCTTATGAGAAGAACAACTGAGAAGGCACGCACCAAACTGAAACCAGTGCTACAAATTGTTTGAAAGAGAGTTGTTGGTTTTTACACAGGACGCGGGACATTCACCTGTGTTTCTCCTGTAGAAATTTGCAAATACCTGAAAAAGCGGGAAAAGCACAATGTTATTTGCTGGATTTTTCCTCACTATAAAAACTGAAAGTTGTCATAAAACTGATGCTGCAAATTTCCTCTCTGGATGTGGTAACTGAAAAGACCGCAAAAATCAGTAAAAAGGCAAGTATATTTGTTTTGTAAAAATGGAAAGAAAGGCAGTCGCTGTCAATTCAGTTTTGGACTTTTTGCAATATATCAATCAGGGCACGCCTAAGGTACTGAATAAGCATCTCACGAGGTGAGCAAGATGGAATGTCTCGTTCGAATACCATTTCGGTTTGCTTGCAGTATGTACTAAATAATACTGTTTAAGATCCAGGCCTGGATCCTAAGTAAATTTCTCACGTGATGCCCTTTTTGCAAATTGCCCTTTTGTGCAAATTGGCTTTTTTGCGATGCCTTTTTGCGTTATGCCTTTTTGCGTGTTGCCTCTTTACGTGGTGCCTTTTTGTGTGTTGCCTTTTTGCGTTATGCCTCTTTGCGTGATGCCTTATTGTGTGTTGCCTTTTTGCGTTATGCCTCTTTGCGTGATACCTTTTCGCGTGTTGCCTCTTTGCGTTATGCCTCCTTGCGTGTTGCCTTTTAGCGTGATGCCTTTTTCTAAGTGATACCTATATGATGGTGGCTTTTTTAGTATTTCTTCCTTTTATCGTGGTCTTTTTTTTACCAACTTTGACTCGGCATATTTCAGAATTGACTTAACCTTTTTCAATTTTAGGTTATTGAATTTTGTCATAGATATACCCTCATACACTCTCTATGGAATGGAATGGAATGATTTATTTAATGTCCTGTTGGCACAATCTTCCAAGCCAGAGTTAAAAACGTCAAAAACGCTCGACAAACTAAAAATACAGGACAAAATAAAATGTGAATTATGCATATACAAATATAAAAAACCTAACTATTAATTACATCGTAATTTTGGGAAAATGTTTTAAGAAACTTTTTTCTGGAAAAAAAAAAACCTAGAAAACCTAAGTACATGTACTAAAAATAGTTTAAAATGGACTAATCGTTATAAACTGATTAAATGTTAAAAAATATTTTAATCTATTTTCATCTGTTAAATATTTTAATTTTGATCTCTATGATCTTTCACACGTTTTTAAAAAGATTGAAACTACTATGATGTGAAGTTGCATGTCAAAAGCGCTTCGTCTTTTACACACAACGGCCAAAACATCAAGATTGTCCATTTTTATTGTATTTCTCACCGATAAAACTTTATCCCAAAATATCTCGATGACGCTCTTACAGAATCCGCTCAAACTTCGCGAACATCGAGGAGGCTATTGGAGGAAAACGCTCCCGTGAACGATTTTGGAAGAACAGTTCCCAGTGCTGAGAAATACTGCTGTAAGTAAAACAGGTTATGGCCTCATTTCATTGCCATGACAACTCCGATGTCATTACAACCCTGATCATAACAAATTTTCATCTTTATCTAATCCAACTGTGGTGGAAATTATTCCAAATCTTTGTTTATGGCGACGTAGTTTATGCTAAAACGTGGGAGATATTGACCCTGAAAAACTGTATAGAGCCACCTTAAGGTGGCTGAACACAGTTTCATACGTTGTGGATCGTTACCATTCATTACACAAAGTAGAAAAAAGCGAGGACACTAAAGTGTCAATATGAGTATCGAAACGCAAAGCGGAATCAAGATAGATGCCGAAATCCTCACAAACCTTGTCAGGAGTCAAGGTCGAGCCCAGAATCGATACCGTCGGATTAACAAGTTTTCCCAGCTGCTGCTTTGTACCCAAAAGGATAAACTTTGTTTTGTCTGGATTTATTAGTAACTGATGTTGACAGAGTTATTCCACAATCCGGTGGAGATCTTGAGAGACGCTTGCCAATGCCAGTCGGTACCAAACAATTTAAAGGAAAGAAACCGCTTAGTATCGTCCACGTAAGATTTGCATTTTCGGCAAATCGTTGATGTAAAAGGTGAACAATAAGGGACCGAGAATCGATCCTTGGGGAACTCAGTAACAGACAGGTAATGGTGAACATAGCGTGCAGCCTATACGGGTTGTCTGATATCTTTCAGCCAAGAAACTCTCGAGCCGCACTTACTGGAAGACTGAGAGGTACCCAGGTCTTGCAGTTAACGAAGCAAAAGGTTATGTGATAGGCTATCAAAGGCCTTACACAAATCGATGAAGATCATGCTGTAATCCCTTTCTTATCTACTGCCTTAAAAAGATGATTGATCAGTGACGTGTAGACTTAATGCTTCTGTCGAGTGGAAAATTCCATCCCACTATCAATTTGTGTTACAGTTAGACATGGCTGCATCAGACACTATTCGCACTACATATAATCACACTTAACCCATTAATATACTACCTCTATACCACCTCTTACTCTTATGATTTTCTTACGCAATGCTGTAGTGGAGATAGCTGCATAGCTGTGGGTCCCTCACTATTGTTGTACCCTAACCCATTTACGTTTTTCATTTTGCTTTTATGTCATGTTACAGTCGGCTTAACTGCATTGCAATCTATTAGTCCCTCAGTCACTTATTTTACGTTCAATAATCAGTTACCGCACACACCCTCTTCAAATATATACTGTCGAGTCCAGGAAATCAGACTACGAATTATAAAGGAACTTTATGATATGTCATATTTCATTTATTTTGAAAGAGGTTCCTTAAATATGCTGACCTAGCTAGCCATGATTATGTGAGCCGCGGGAAAGAATGGTTGAGTTTAAAACAACTTTACAAGATCACAAGATATGTAGCCAGAGATTTTTCTACTTTCAAGGACAAAGTCATATGCCGTATAGTTGCTGGGGTGCTTATAGATTAGGGATCGGTTAGGCCGTCGTATTTGTGGGGGGGTGGGCATCAACTTGCTGAGGAATACATTAACGCCGATTCTATCTCCGTCCTTTTGAATAATTTGGAAAAGGAGGAAAATAATTGAATTGCAGAAGCGTAGGAAAGGGAATGGGTATGTAAAAATTGTGTTGAGGACCAGAAAGAACTAGTTTTCCTTCGCTTTCATTAATTTGCACAAATCAGTGAATCTGAACAAAAAAAGTTTCTGTCTGCAATGAACCGTGAAAGTGGCAAGATAGAACTGAACTTGCGTAATTACAATACGGTCCAGCGATTTTTAAGTCACCGATGACATCATGAATAAATAAAAACGTGACATTTAAATCAACTGGCCTTATTTCCCCAAAACCTGTCAAACGGTGTAGACAACCGCAAAATAGCACATGATCTTATCTAAATGAATTCTACCACATATTTATAAGATAACGACAAAAGGCTACGACATCATCGGCGTTAAAATGTGTTTTCCCGCAAGTTTTAAATGAAATTCCCTCGAAAAAAGAGGTGCTGGTAATCCCTACTATACTATTAGTACAGTATTAAGTACTTAGTGATTTTCCCATATCTAATAACAACTTGTCCAACTGACTGTATTTCGCGGACAATAAGTAGATGATGTCTTGTAAATACGTCATCTGTTCATATGTGTTATACAAGATAGAGCATTTGCTTAGCTTCGAGAAAACCTTCCTCGTACTACCTTTTCAATCGCTTCTACGAACAGTATAGCGATCAGTGTTGAAAAGGTGACTGTCTTATTTTT